CTGTGTTGTGTGTGTGTGTGTGTGTGTGTGTGTGTGTGTGTGTGTGTGTATGTGTGTGTGTGTGTGTGAAACGGTAAAGCCAAAAAAATTATTAAAATTTTTTTACGGTTATACTTTAAGTTGGTTTATGAAATTTATGAGTAAAATGTTATGACAGATTAGAATAGCTCAGTAAAATGGCTCAAATAACCTTTAGAAATATTTTTGAAGTACTAACTGTAAATTTCTTTTCTTCCTTTCCCATAAAATTAATATCTGTCAAATTTCAATCGAATTTCATTTAACAGAAATACTTAACTTATACCATTTTCGTTTAAAATACAATTTATTTTCTTCATAATGTATTCCAAACTTTAATTTCCAAAAAGACAAATTTTACCTAACCAAACGAGATCAGAAATTAACTAAAACTCAAAATTAAAACTAATATTTGTTAAGAAAACAATTTATTTAAAAAAAAAAAAAAACGAAATGTAATTTTTGTCAAAATTGTTAACATGAATTAGAAGAGTATTATATTGTTTCAAATCTTAAGAAAAAACGAAACATTTTTTTTTTGATTTCGGAACGAATGCCAAAGTCAAAAAAGCTTAGACTAAATTATATTTTTCCAATTTAAATTCAATACTGACAAATTTTGGAAATTTGATTAAATTTGCTGACCATTCCCCAAAAATCTGTTTCGACTCTTGTTTATCATCAAAATGGAAATCTTTTTTTGTGGTCACTCGATTCGTTGCATATTTGCATGACGATTTCAATCAAGCAAATATTGTAAGGTCTTACATAGGCGCTGTGTTTTCAGTTTAGCTAAGCTAAAATTTTGTTGAACAATAATTTAAAATTTTCTCCTGTACGACATTAAGTAATCTAACTAAGTAATCGTGCGACATTAAATAAAAAGATGAGAATACTTTAGGATCTTATTTGAGCTATGATCCAATTCAGTCTAGATTTCGAATATATGAAACTAATTTAGGAGAATTCGATAGGCTGTCACTATTAGCGAACTGTGATAAACAATAATAATACATATTTCCAAATGAGTATCAGAAAATTCAATAATTCAGCCGTATAACAGTTGTCCAGTTTTTTAATTCATTATTCGATATGAATCTTAGTTACTTCTCAAAAATAAATTGGAGGGTGAAATTCTAAAAAGCACTTCATATATTTTTTGAAGTTCAAATCCTTCCTCAACCATTGTTGCGGAAGCAAAGTTTCATTTTTTTGCAATACATTTCGCTATTTATTTTTTGTTTTCAAATGAATTTGAGGGATGAATCGACTGCGATTGTCGGAAATTTCCATGAATGTGATTATTCTCTGAATTGATCGACTAAAAGGACAATTTAGTTTTCTAAAAATGTTTTCTTTCCAACAATTTATTCGTAATTTTGAAGGAGTTTCGTTTTAAAAAAAAAAAGATTTTGAAAATTTCTTAATTTTATGCTAGAAAAACTGAGGAAAACAAAAATTAAAAATAAAAAAATAATCAAACACATTACTAGTTGACTAAGAGAAAAGTTGTGTTTAAAAAACAAACTTATCGATAAATAAAGAAAAAATGAAGTTTATATTTCTTATTAATTATCAATACAGTCGGGCTGGAATCAAACTCAATACTATTTGCTGGCTACGCTGATGCAATAATAAAATTAGTAAATCTAATATCTGTGCAGAAGAACATCTTTGAATTCATCCCTTAGCCTTCTGATTCTGGCCTTTAAATTCATCAGTATATCCTAGCAGAATATATTTGATTCCCTTATTTATCTTCTCGTAAAATAGCTTTCATCCTCCATTTTTTTCATAATCCTCAGACATTATAGAATGCACTTCCATTTCTTCTCTCGGTACTTTCAAGCGACAATCAATTCATTCCGCAAATTGCTGCATCAAAAAATTTGCCGTATGGAATCGAAGTAGAAGGAATCGTTGTACACCCAAATTTGATAATTAGATTTGATAATCATTGGATTCCCCAAATTTGATAACCATTGGATTTTGTCGTCAAACCTGAAGAGATTTTGATTTTTACTTAAAAAAAAAAAAAAAAAAAAAAAAAAAACAAAACACTTTTAGTGCCTTTCCCTGAGTTTAATCTACAATCATCTAAAACGGAAGAGTTGAAGATAATTTTAGCGGTGACAAATTTTCTACTATTGTGAATTGACATTTAATATTGAGACGATTTTAATAATGACAAAAGTGGGAAAGTGAATGAAAACAATTACTTTGTGCTGTTGCTTAGACGAAAAAAAAAACAAAAAAAAATATGAATAGACAAGAGAAAACAAACTTCACAGAGATACAAACAAATTGTTGACAAGAAATTTATTAAGCAAAAACACTTTTTTAGTTATTTTTTTGTTATAATGTTTTGAAGCTAATAAAAGTTACGGTACTTTAATAATGACAATACTGAGGCGACTTTAACAATGACAATATTGAGGCGACTTTAATGATGACAAAAGCGATAGTAGACAGTCGTACTAATGGTAATAGTAAAAAAGATGGAGTATTGAAATAAAAATTTCATTATTTCTCTTTTATTGTCGAATTTCTTATAAGTACTTTTTTTTGTTTTAATGAGAGCAAAGATTGCACATCTTTTCTGATTGGTTTTGCAATTTCAAAAAACTCATCCCATAATTCAAAAAATAAAATTGAAAAATGAAGAGTTTACTAATACTTGTAATCATTTCAAGCAGGTTTTTCCATTGAAACTTATTCAATATCCGAATTATGATAATTAAAGGGGAAATATGTAGGTGCAAATGGGCTTATTAGCATGCCTTCTATGGACCTGAGTAAAGCTAGTTGACAAAAACTTCTAAAGTCATAAGTTTCCTTTCAAATACTAAAAACTCTGATATTTGAAAGTGATTCAAGCTCTTCCCAAAAATTTACTTTCTAACATGAATTTGAAGTAACTGAACAACGATGATCGGTTTTAAATGAACAAATAATTCAGAATTAAACTAAAGAATTACTTCGATCGAGAGAACTGATCAAAAAGTCGTTATTAAATAGAGTTTATAAGTCGACACTTTTAGCAAAAATAAAGCTAGGAAATATTAAATTAATTAACTCATATTGCTGAAAGTGTCATATTGACAGTACCGACCAACAAATGCTACAATTGCAGAATAGCAATTTCTCTGGAAAATATTCAACGAGAAAAACACCATTCACATCCAGAAAAGCAAAGTCATTATTAAACAGCAAACAATCGGTTATTATTTATCCGGTATCTATTGGACCCTACCAGGTCCGGTTGTTTGTAAATTCATGTGTGTGCAAATTCACATCAGGATGAGACATTCATCCTATCACATAGTTAAGCATGCAGTGATTATTTCTTCTCCATTCCTTTAATATTTTCCTCTAATAATTATGATTAACTAGTTAGAGTGATGCATTGCAGCTTTATTATTAAATGTGTTTTCAGGCTTATTCATACCACGCTGATTGAATTATAAACATAACTAAATGATATTGTCGATAGTGATGTTACTATTATTGCTGTTGCTGTTATTGTTGTTGGGGACGCACAAAGTGGAGAATGACAATGATGATGATAATGATGATTATAGTAATAGTAATAATTGTAATAATAATAATAATAATTATTATTATTATGATGATGATGATGATGATGATGATGATGATGATGATGATGATGATGATGATGATGATGATGATGATGATGTTGGTGATGATGATGATAATGATGATGATGATGATGATGATGGTAGAGTTTGAAGTCTGCCTGAGGCAGGGTAAGTCTGCAGCACAGTGGACTTGCTCTGATGGGAACAACCAATGCAGCGTTGTCTTTGCGCCGTTTCACACAAACATCATATAACTTCCGAATCAACTCAGCTCTCCCACCACCGGTACCGATTATATCCCCACCGTTAACCCCAATTTCACCTAAGTCCAGTCTCAGCAGCAATGGTTAGTAATCCTCCTCTTCAATTATTCTTATATCGTTTATAAAAGCTATCTTCATAGTTATCTTTTTATCATTATGATTGCACATCATTCCCATTATCATTACAACTTCTTTAGCTTAGTAAGTGATGGTGAAATGCTCGTAAATTTCTTTTCCGAATTAAGAAGTACATATTTTGATCTTAAATTGGCTTCAAAAGAAATTTAGCAATTTGAAGAGTATAAACATCAAATTACTATCAGCTTTGAAATCTCTTATTTCAATTTATACTTTATTAGCACTGAGTAATTTAAATCTCAATGTTTTTTTAATTTAGGGTTGAGATTTTACAAGTAACTGTTTGCATTATACTGAATATTCTAGCTATCATCTTCCTAGAATATATTTACTTAAATTTAAAATTTTTCATATCCGATGTTCGTTTCTTTTTTTTTACTTTAGATCTCATAATATTTTGAGGAGCAATTTTTTTTTTTTACAAATGTGACGGTGTGATTTATCAATATTGATTTTATCAGGGTTATCATATCACTTAGTAGATATAACTAAAAGAAGGCTGAAGAGGACATGTTGCTGTTGTGTTGTTGTAATTGTAAGTTGTAAAGATCGATAAGCATTTTGTTATCTTTTGAAACCTTGCTTGAAGAGTTTGTTTTGCAGTGAAAAAAAGTAAATGGAAAGGTAAATTCAGTTGTTGCTATCATCTGAAGAACATTTATCGCTGTGGGAGGGATTAATGAGAAACTAAATTAAGTTTAATACGAAATTCCTGCCTGCGTTCATCACCGAGAATTACTAGAGGAGGATGATGCAGGGTGCAGTGCGGCATTAAGCAATATGTGAGATATTCTTCATCGTGCTTTCAATCAGAACTCTTATTCTTCTTGATTCATTTCATCAAAGGTTAAACCACTGGATGATTCAATTGGAAATTGAATTCACATATTTTAGAAGAGATAGGCTGAATTCAATCCTTTCAAGAGTGTGCCGGACTAAAGGGAAAATTGAATGATTTGAAATAGTAGAATTGCTGAATTCAAAAGATCGAAGATTATTTCCTATCTAAACAATTTAAAAATACCCGTGAACCATAAAACAGTTAGAGGACATTTTGCTCAAATTTTATACCACCATAAGACAAACAACTGAATAGTTTCTCTGATTGCTATCATGTGGTACAGTATTCGGATGCAACAAGCTTATATTTACTAATGGTTAAAAATACATTGCAAATTCCATTGTATTGATTATTTCTTCATTTCTTGCTCGATTTAATTTTCTTTTGAATCCAGATTTGATTCTGTTTATTTATTTCCAATAACTTTGACAAATTCGAAATATTCCAAGGATAAAAATTAGGAAGTTTGAATGTTTGTCATCGTTCTGCGCATAGCTTATACTTTTACAATCTTCCTAACTAGACTAGACATTATATTATTGATTGGCCATTTTCTGGAATGGTCTTTGGAAAAGATGTTTGATTGCACACCTGCAATTTGCATTTTGCAGGTCATTTAGAAAATATGAATAAGCAGAATAATAAGTGTTATTGAACAGCTGCTACTTTTACTGCTGCTATTGCTTCTGAATGTTTCACACCATGAAGATTGAAAGCTATAACTTTGAAAAATTAGAGGATGTAAGAATGCCAGAGTACGTTGAATTTTTTTTTTGGAAACATATTTTTTGTTGGCAAGTTTTTGGTGGGAAAGCGAATGAAAACAATTACTTTGTGCTGTTGCTTAGACGAAAAAAAACAAAAAAAAAGTATGAATAGACAAGAGAAAACAAACTTCACAGAGATATAAACAATTTGTTGAAAAGAAATTTATTAAGCAAAAACACTTTTTTAGTTATTTTTTTGTTATAATTTTCTGAAACTAATAAAAGTTACCAGAAAAGAAATTAGAATTTCCAATGGATAACACAAAAGTCAACCATAGATAATTAAATTGTTAAATTCACAAAATACTATAACCATTGGAAGGTGAAGATTTCATTCTCCACGATTTTCATTATTCCATTTACTCTCTACTGTAAAAAATACAGTAAAAATGGAAATATAAGCTCAGTTTTTGCATATCACCAAATCCATTACTGGGAAGATAGAATGACCGGAAATCGGAAATGATATTGGATACTTTTTGCATACTGTTTTATTACTTTTATGGAGTAGTAATTTTTTTTCTCCCAAATGACTTTCTTTCATAAGAAGGATTCGTCATACAAATGCGAAATTCTTCTTTTGTCAATTATTAGCCATTGAAAAACGAATATTGCTTCAAAACATGACATAAATTGACATTGACTTTAAATGCTTTGTTACAACCCCCACAGGACTTCTCATTTCCCTATCCACTGTTTTTTGCTCGAAATTTTTAAAAGCAACTGTTTATTCAAGTATTTTTAACGAGGAATTAAAAACTTAGTAAGTAGTTAGTAAATAAAAAAACTTAGTAAATGAAAAGTTACTTAGTAAGTTCCATCTTCCAATGTATTATTTGATGGAATTTATCGATTGCTGAGTTCATTTTATCCAAATTTCAGTTTTTCGTCTTTGAACAATACTGTTACTTACTACAATATCGAACCATAAAGACCTCACAAAATTTGTCATTTGACCTCTTGCCCATTTTTTTATTTCATCATCCATTCATTTCGTCTATTCAAGTTCTTTTGCATATCTAACCTTTTTTTTCAGCCTTCTAATTGTAATTTGTTAGAACTGTTAAGGTTTAAGCAGATTAAATAAACTGTTAACATGAAAATTATTTTAATTTGTCAAGCTATGCCTGATTTCTAAATGTAAGTTTAGTGGTATAAAACAATTAATGTCTTGGAAGATTATTAAGAAATCAAAGGATTTCGAATAGACGAGCATTAGCATTAATGCAAATTGCTTGTCTGATAGAGAAATTAGTAAAGTCATCATTAATTTTAATAAATGTTGAAAATTATTAATAATAATTCCAATAAATATTATTGAACTATAAAAAGGAAAATGGATTAATTTTGTTCCTTGAAATTTATCAGTTTTTCAATTTGGACAAGAAAAGGAATAATATGCATTTAAATATTCTTAGATCTGTTTGAATCCATTTGAAGCAAGTTTTAAGGAGCATTAGATTTTCCCGATTCTGGATCCTGGTGTCCAGGATCAGGAGGATTCAATGCATGTCTAAACGATGACATGATTAACCGGATATTGATATGGTCTACTAAAAAGTTTAATTTTTAATTGAAATTTTTAAGATATTATTTCTTCTTATGTAGCATCATAATAACAAAAAATTTCAAATTCACAATCGGATATAATGATGTATCGTTGCTTAAAACATTTTGCCCCTGTAGCAATCGTTATTCAGTGCAAAGTAATTAATTATATTCCCAAAGGATAGGTGGTACAGGTGCTCGGTGCAAATGACTCTTACATTTATATGAATTCGTTGTAAAATAGATTAAATTTCATCAACGCAACTATTTTTAAAAGACATAGTAAACAAATTGCTTAACTTCCTGCTTAGCTGCTTGAAATTGCATGCGTGTATGCAAATCAGAATTGCGCGTTGCCAACATTTCCTTTCCTTTGTACGGGCAAATAAGTGCATGTGCGAACCTGCAAGTAATCTTACAGATTTTCTGTAGCTCTAAATAATAAAACAGGCTTTCATCAGATTTCAATAGTTTTTATCAATCTTATCAGTATTTTTAGTTAACAAACTGATCCCTATATATATATATATATATATATATATATATA